AAGTGCGGAAAGTGCGGAAAGTGCGGAAAGCAGTGCGGACAGTCTGGGCAGGGTCGGCGGTGGTGCCGAGCAGCTAGTACAAAACCACCCCGATGGAATGTCACATGCAACTCGCCTCCCAACCATCTCCATTCGCAGAATCAACGGCTTGTAGCTCCATCACAAGACAAAGCAAGCATGAGCACATCATCCCAATCCAATTCCTCCGGCCGTGCGCCTGCGCCGGTGACCATCTCGACCCCCACGGGCAACAAGTGGCAAGTGCCCTCGGGCATCTTTATCAACAACGCCTTCCACGCCTCGGTGTCGGGCAAGACGTTCGAATCTGTCAACCCGGCCACGGGCGAGAAGCTGTGCACGCTCGCGCTCGGCGGCGCTGCCGACATCGAGGCGGCGGTCAAGGCGGCGCGCACCGCCTTCGACACGGTGTGGGGCAAGCGCTCAACGCCGACGCAGCGCTCGCGTCTGCTGCTCAACTTTGCCGATCTGGTGGACAAGCATTTGGACGAGCTATCCGAGCTCGAGAGCATGGACAACGGCAAGCCCGTGTGGATGGCGAGTGCCTTTGACGTGCCCGATTCGGCGGGCTGCCTGCGCTACTACGGCGGCTTGGCTGACAAGATCGAGGGCAAGACCATCGAGCAGACCGAGGGCGAGAAGATCGCCTACACGCGCATCGAGCCCCTCGGCATCTGCGGTCAGATCATCCCTTGGAACTACCCCATCCAGATGGCAGCCTGGAAGCTCGGCCCCGCGCTCGCTGCGGGCAACTGCGTCATCCTCAAGCCCGCAGAACAGACGCCTCTCTCGGCGCTCAAGCTCGCCGAGCTCTCGGTACAGGCGGGCTTCCCCCCGGGCGTGATCTCGGTTGTCAACGGCTACGGTGCCGAGGTCGGCGAGGCGATTTCGACACACATGGACATCCAGAAGGTGGCCTTCACCGGCTCAACCGCCACGGGCAAGCGCATCATGAAGGCGGCGGCCGAGAGCAACATGAAAAAGGTGACGCTCGAGCTCGGCGGCAAGTCGCCCGTCGTGGTGTTCGAGAGTGCCGACATCGAGCAGGCGGTGAGGTGGGTGTGTCTCGGCATCCTCTTCAACCAAGGCCAGGACTGCACCGCCGGCTCGCGACTTTTCGTTCAGGACTCGATCTACGAGCAATTCATGCGCGAGCTCGTCGCCGCATTCAAAGCGCACAAGGTCGGCGACCCATTCCACGAACTCACTTTCCAGGGCCCACAGGTCAGCAAAGTGCAACAGCAAAAGATCCTCGACATGATCGAGTCCGGCAAGCGTCAAGGCGCCAAGGTCGAGGTGGGGGGCAAGGCGTGGCAGAGCCCCGACGCCAAGTTCCGCAACGGCTTCTTTGTCGAGCCAACCATCTTCTCGGGCTGCCGCAAGGGCATGCGTATCGTTGACGAGGAGATCTTTGGCCCAGTCCTGGCAGTGGCCAAGTTCAGCACCGAAGAAGAAGCGATCAAGCTCGCCAACGAGACCGAGTACGGCCTCGGCGCCGGCGTCTTCTCTGAAAACGCAAGCCAGATCCAGCGCATGGTGTCAGCGATCGATGCTGGCACGATCTGGGTAAACAATTATGTGGCCTTGAGCAACTCTGTGCCATTCGGAGGCATGAAGGCGAGTGGATTCGGTAGGGAGCTCGGCGTAGACGCCGTCAAGGCCTACTGCGATGTCAAGGCGATCCACTGGAACTACGGCGAGAAGCTCGACTGGCCTCTGCCCAAGCTGTGACCTTCAACGGCTCTCCTTCTTTCATTGTCTCTCATTCGTGTGCAATCCAATCCTACTTCTTCACTCGACTCAGTTCCACTTGTGACATCGATCGAGCTTGTCCTTGAGCGGAGTGTTGCGCCTGGCGATACGCAGAAATAATTGATTAATTTTATGATTTAATTATTGTTATTTGTCGTGGGTAGAAGCACGGCAATTTAGCGGAAGTCGAGCGGCTTATCTCGAGGTCAGCAGGGCAGCAGGGCAGCAGCTGTCAAAGTGCGGGTACTGAGCTCGGATGCCCGCGGAGGCGGAGCTTGTGACCTCGTTAAGCACCCTTGCGGATGAGCCCGTGTCGGCAGCGTCTCGACCGCGTGCCAAGACGCTACGAGTCTCATTCGCCCGCCTCGTGCCTGCGTGACTTCGTGCCTTGGTTGCGTGGTGGGCAGCGCCAATTCCGCCGTGCCATCGTCGGCACTCTATCTCCCGCGCAAGAACCGTCGCTCTCTCGCGGTATCAGCCAGTCAGGCGGCACCTCCCCCACATCAGCACGGACCGAGCTTGGCCTTTTGCTGCTGCGCCTGCTGCCGCTGCATTACCCAATGAGGTCGCGCCAATCACTCTCTCCTCACTCTGCACTCCCGCTCGCACTTGCGGACCCTAGCAAAGCACCTCGTCAAGCCGCCTCTGCCTCCCCCGGCTTATCCTCCGAGCACCTCGTCTAGACGAACTCCACCCTGACTTTTTTGGGCCAGCGTTACAGTACGCCTGCCTGGACTCTCGACATTCCGCCCAGCCTGGCCCCACTTTGGGCAGCCTCCTTGGCTCTGCTAGCGGTACCCGGCCAAATTGCCTCCCGACGGTGAGCTGTGAGCCGCAAAAGTTGCTCGGCCTCCAGACGCTGCTCTCTCCACCGCTGAGCTTTGCCAGTCACACGAGCCAGAGAGCAAGTGCTGTCCCCAGTATCATGTGCTGGACCGATACCGCCAAATGATATAATCCCTCATCCTGATTGCAACCCTCAACCCTGGTTCCCCTCTCTCCACAGACAAACAAGCCACTAGCTCGTGCCACCACGTTTCCATCCCTTAGCGTCTCGAGAGACAACACTAGCCTAGTCGCTCCCTTCGCTGCATCCATCCCTCGCTAGCGAATTTGCCTCATCCTTGCCTAGCCCCTGCACGGCCTCTGTATGACAGCATCCTCCCGCCCCGCTTAGATATGATGTCTTCCACTCAGTCGCATTCGTTTAATCCCTCGGGTGCTACCCGCTCCGCTGGTCTCAATCTTGACCACCACCCCCTCGACCCGCTCTCCGCCCAGGAGATCGCCGCCGTCTCGCTCATCGTGCGCAGCCACTTTGCCGCCCGCACCTCGGTCAAGGCCATCAAGTTCTGCAGCTCCATCCTCATCTCGCCCCCCAAGGCTGCCGTCCTCTACGCGCTTGGCCTCCCGCTCCCGCGCGACTCCAACCTCGACGACCGCAAGGCGCTCCAGCTCCTCAACCGCAGGGCTGAGGTCCAGCTGATCGACGTCGTCACCGGCGACACCTACGAGGTCAACGTCGCTCTCGCCAACGACCTCCCTCTCCCCGGCCGCGATGGCAAGTACGCCCCTTCCACCGCAGACGCCCTCGGCAAGGTGGAGTCCATCAAGAAGCTTGACATCGGCCTGCAGCCAATTCTCACTCCCGAGGAGGTCAACGAGGCTGAGGACATCCTCCGTGCCGACCCACGCATCGTCGCCATCGCCCGAGAGGTCGGCATCGAGCCCGAGAACCTCTGGGCAGACGGCTGGTCCATCGGTTACGATGACCGTTTCGACAAGAGCCTCCGCGTACAGCAGTGCCTCGTCTACGCCCGCAAGAGCGAGCACGAGAACCTCTACGCCCACCCCATGGACTTCTACCCCGTCATCGACTGCAACGCCGGCAAGGTCATCGCTATCGACTTCCCCGGTCACCGCGATCCAGTCACGGGCAAGCTCTCCACGCCCAACGCCTCCACCAAGCCTGGCCCCGTCACCATGGACAGGGACGAGGCGCTTGCCTACTCTGGCCGCAAGCGCATCCCGCCCCCCATGGAGTCGTTCGACTACCTTCCCGAGCTCATGGCGCAGGACCCCAAGATGCCACCGCTCCGCACCGACCTCAAGCCTCTGCACGTCGTTCAGCCCGAGGGCGTGAGCTTCAAGCTCAACGGCAACGAGCTCGAGTGGCAGAAGTGGAAGATGCACATCGGCTTCCACCCTCGCGATGGCCTCATCATCTCCACCGTCAGCTACAACGATCGTGGCAACGTCAGGCCCATCGTCTACCGCATGTCGGTCGCAGAGATGGTCGTCCCCTACGCTTCCACCGAGCACCCGCACCCGCGCAAGTTCGCCTTTGACGTCGGAGAGTACGGCATGGGCACGCTCGCCAACAGTCTCAAGCTCGGATGCGACTGCCTCGGCACCATCCACTACCTTGACGGTCACTACGTCGCGCTCGATGGCTCGCCTACCGCGGTCGAGAACGCCATCTGCATCCACGAGGAGGATGCCGGCATTGCGTGGAAGCACACCGACTACCGCCCTGGCGGAAAGGTTCGCTCGGCACGAGGCAGGAAGCTCGTCATTCAGATGATCTGCACCATCGCCAACTACGAGTACATCTTTGCCTACATGTTCCACACCGACGGCAGCATCCAGCTCGAGACCAAGCTCTCGGGTATCCTCAACCTCTACGTCAAGGACCAGGACGAGCCCAACCCATATGGTGTCGAGGTGGCGCCGCAGGTCAATGCACACTACCACCAGCACCTCTTTGCGCTCAAGATCGACCCCATGGTCGACGGTTGCGAGAACACGGTAATTCAGACGGATTGCGAACCCACTCCGGCACCAACCGGCTCGGACCGCAACTACCTCGGCAACGGCTTCGTCACCGTCAAGACGCCCATCAACGTCTCTGGCGGCTACGACTGGGACTGGTCGCGCCACCGCACTTGGGCCATCTACAACACCAACAAGCAGCACTACTCGGCAGGTCTGCCCGTGGGCTACAAGATTCACACGCGCGACTGGGAGCCTCTGGCGCTGCAGAGCGACTCGATGGTGGCGCAGCGCGCCGAGTTCACTAAGCACGCGCTCTGGGTCACCAAGTTCAACGAGGAGCAGCTGTGGCCTGCGGGCAAGTATGTGCCTCAGCAGCGTGGCACTGCGCCCGACTCGCTCGGCAACTGGGCCAAGGAGAAGAACAAGGTGGACGACGAGGAGATCACTGTGCATGCCATCTACGGTATCACGCACATCCCACATGCCGAGCAGTTCCCCGTGATGCCCGTCGAGCACCTCAACGTGTGGCTCAAGCCCGCCAACTTCTTCGACTTCAACCCTGCCCAGGACCTGCCCGCGCTCAACGACCCGTTCTCGCGCAGCGCCTTTGGTAGCAACGAGGGCAAGCCCAAGCTCGAGGTGGCCACCAAGCCTTCTCCCATGACGCCGGGCAATGCTCAGTCGAATTCGACGGGCGGCTGTTGCGCCAGCAAGAACAAGTCCAGCGTCTCGGTGCCTCAGCCAAGACACGGCATCAGCCTCTCGGCTCCCTCGAGCGCGTCCGGCTCCGCTTCGGCAGGTCACCCGAAGAACTGCGCTTGCTGCGCGAATGACGGTTCCAGCCGTCTCTGATGTCGCATCGCCCTGATACCAGCTCTCGTTCCCTCACATGTATTGCATCCTCTCATCATGGTTTCCGTTTGCATTCGATCTCAATTTGGTTCATCTAAAAAACTCGGAGTGCTGTCTGCTGCTAGCTGGCTGGCAAGCTGTTGAATGTGATCCGGGTCGAAGTGAGGTACTCGCGAATGGAAGGGCACATCAAGCTCGATGATGGAGCAGACTCGAGCCAATTCCCGATCCCAAGGTGTCATCGGGCCCAACCGTTTCCGGCTACCAGCTCGGGTGCGAAACGCGGCACGCGAAGGGAAGGAAAAAAAAAGGAGGAGAGAATTGGCAGCGAACCACTTCCGGTCTTGTATCCGCGAAGCAAAGGGTCGTCGTACCATAACGCCATCCACCCGCCACATAGGCTGCTCACATCCGCCAGGTTGTCGACTTCGCACCGGCAGCAAGTTCAGGAGAGCGCTCTGCTGCTGCTTCGGACCCCTTCACTCGCAGAGAGTAGGAACGCAGCACACCAATCGGGCGAGTTGGAAGCGGTCGAGGCGAGCCGACACCACTCAGGACGCCTTCCCGGTCTAGTCCCCAGCAGGCGTATCGGCAGCCATTCGCAACCCAGTCCTCCTCCACAACTGGTCATTGCCGTCTCCCGAGCCTTGGACGACGCAGGAAGAAAAGTGTCGGCGCCATGACAACGCCTCCTACCCCACATGCCTCGTCACCATCCCGGCGGCTTCCATCGACAGCGCATCCTTCCACCTTTGCGACCGGTCACACCTCGTCGGCTGCGTCGTCCCGTCCCTCGAGAGATGATGCTACCGGGCTGTACGATCAAAGCGCTCGTACTCTAGACCTCCAGCGTCGTCGCGAACACAGCACCTCGCGTCATGAGCCAGGCGCATACCAGCCCTCCTCCAAGCCAACTTCCAGATCCCCCACCAAGAACGTGGCTAGCTCGACTGCATCCACTTCCAGCGCTGCGCGCCGCAAGTCCAACATGAATAGCGACAAGGCCGAAAAGCGCAGGAGCAGCCGCGCCTGCCTCGAGTGCCGCCTCGCAAAGACAAAGTGCCACGTCACCGACAACCAGGACGTGTGCGACCGCTGCGCCAAGTTCTCCTTCGACTGCCGCTTTGTCCGCCATCATCGCGGTCGTAAGCCCGTCTCGAAACTCGCCGCCATCGATCCGGAGGACATTGACGGCGCTCCAGGTTCATCGCGCCACGGCGGCTCGCATGGATACGATGGCTCAGACGACGATCTCGCCACCGACCACGACAGCGATTCGGCGAACGAAGACATTGCGCCCAAGAATGAACAGGGTCCGTCAGGCCAGGACGACGCTGACGCTACTCACCCCGCCCAGGCTGGGCGACCATCGGCGCGCGAACACGATGCCAGCGGCCCTGCATCCTCGGACGGCGCCCAAAGACGAAGCAGAGACACGGCGTCCACAAAGGCTTCTTCGGGAAGATCGAATAGCAAAGCGAGAGTGCAAAGGAACGCCAACAATCTGCACGAGCTTGACACCAGTGCAAGACGCAGGATCTGGGAAATGCTCGCGCAGAAGATCCCGCAGCGAGGCTCGACTTACACTTTCGTCAGCAAGGGTGAGGTCGCTCACGACAACCTGCAAGCATCCACTTCCTCCTCCAAGTCCGCCGGCATTGGAGCCAGCTCGAAGCGGGCCTCGTCACCTTCCTCTGCCTCAGCCCTCGACCGCAAGGATGCAGCGAGAGAAAGTGCGACAGGCTCGACGGCGGAAGACGATCCTTCGCGGCCCAGCGCAAACGATTCGGCTTCGACGCAGCCAAAGCAAGCCTCCGCTCCGTCGCAACACTTCGCCTCGACCTTCCGAAACCTGCTGCGACCAGTCGATAAGCGGGCGGCCGCTTCCACTGCCCAAGAGGAGGCAGCATCTGCTGTCGCAGCACGCTACCCACGCCTGCCGGAAACGCTGAATCTGTTCGGATCCAAGGACCCCGTCGATCTAGGCATCCTTTCCATGGCTGCCGCTCGTCGCCTCTACGCATACTACTTTGAGCATCTCAACCCGTGGGGGATGAACTTTGACCCGAAGCTCGTTTCGCACGATGCGGTGCGCGCGTCGTCGTCGTATCTGTACTCGACCATTTTGTACCTCGCCTCGCGATACATCGAGCTGGCAGATGGCGAGGATGACTCGCCCGCCTTCTTCCCGCCGACGTTCGCACGCCCGCGGCCGGACGACGACCGCATCACGAGCGCCATCTCGGCGCAGCTCGGCACACATGTGCGCAGTCTCGCCATCATGGCGTTCGCACTCGGCGACCGGAGGATGGAGACCGGCGTCGCCATGTATCTCTCGTCCGTGTGGAAGGAGGCGGACGACCATTTCACCATCCTTTACTGCAGCTACGCGGCCAAGATCATGAGCGACATCCCAACCGAGCTGCTCTCGCTTCTGCCGTCTTCCGATGCCGCCAACGCTCGCGTCAAGAACGGAATCAAGCAGAAGGACGACGCCGAGACGTCGGCTGCGTTGCAGCAGCAGAGGTCGCGCCGCAATCAGCAGCGACAATTCCTCTTCCACTTCATCCAGGAGCATACACATCTTCTGCACTTTGCGCCGCGGCCCAACTTTGATCGCGGCCCGAGCCTGTTGCGCAACCTGCTTGCGTGGGCGGACGATGCGCTAGCCACCGAGGACGACATTCTGCTTTGTGCGGATATCGATTCGGTGCTGCTGCAGACCAAGTACAAGTCGATCATGGAGCGCGCACAGGCGCAGGAGAAGGATACGCTCTACGGCGGTAGCGAGTGCTTCCTGCTGCTTCAGAGCTTCATGGACGAGCTCGAGGGCTGGCGCAGCAGGTGGGAGCTGCAGGCGCGCAAGATCAACGAGCGCTTCGGGCGAAGTGCCGCACCTTCCCCGCCAGAGCACAAGTCGGACCACGATGCAGGTGCGCCAGCTGCTGACAAGAGCGAGAATGGAAACAAGAGGAAAGAGGACGAGGGGCCGGAGGATGGAGTCGGGCATCTTCCGCTCGATGCACGCATGCATCTGCTGAGTGTAATGCGCAGCAGTCTCGTCATGCAGGTCTCGAGTATTGCCTTCCGAGCTTCGCTGCGCGACATCAACAAGGCCAAGCCCGCGGCCGCAGGCAAAGCAAGCAGCACTTCAGCTTTTTCGCCCTCAGCTCTGTCTGCGATGGATGACCGCGCCGAGCAGGTCTACTACACGTGTCTCGACTCGGCGCTCAACCTGCTGGTGCACACGTTGCAGATGCCGCCGTCGATCCTGCGCCATGCGCAGGACATGATCATGGTGCTCGCGCCGCACGCGGCGCTGCTGGCGACGTACCTCATCTCGCTCCCGCTGCCATCGGTGCCGCCGCACTACGCCGCATCGGCAGCGTCGGACAGGATGGGCTACGAATACGCCAAGGTCAAGACGAGGGTGCGCAGGAGAAAGGAGTACGAGCGAAAGTGTCTCGAGCTTATGCGCGATACGCGCGAGTCGTTCCGGCTGGCTCAGGTGCGAGCCGACGACCACGTCGGTCTGTGTGCGCAGTACTTTGACTCGCTGCTCAATGTTATCGAAGGCGAGTCGGTGGAAAACGGAGCGTCGGCGGCGGCTCCGGCGAGACAGGGAAGATCGCTGCTCAGCAACACCAGCGTGCTTGCGGGCACCAAGAGGTCGCGCAGCAGTCTGGATACCCAGCGTGGCGAGGGAGGCGAGCACGAGGCACCCAGCGCTCCACGCGGGGTCACGCAGACGGCGTCGTCGGACGCTGCTGCAGGCCGATCAAGCTCGGCGGGACCCACTCCGGGCTCGCGCACTTCGGCCCAAATGGGAGCGCAGCCTCACTCGAGCCTGCGCCATTCTGCTCAATCTCACGGCACGTCCAACATGGACGCATCGGCTGCCGAGACGCTGCTCAACCTGCACTCGGAGTCGCATCCGTTCGGGTCAGAGGCCGACGAGGCTGGTGCCGCCAACGAGGGCTCCTCGCGCGTGTTCCCCGCAGGTGGATACTACGGGTCGGGCACGCATCTTGCGCATCCGCGCGTCGGCGCCCACACCGCATCCACACCGCCATCGTCCACGTCTGCTGCGGCCGGATCGTTCTCCCCCGGCAGCTTTGTGAGCTCGGGCATGTTCGGCCACTTTGTGCCTCCGTCGTCCTCGTCGATTCCCAACTCGCCGCAACACACATACCCGCACCACCACCACCATCCCCACTACCCTGCTGTTGCGCATCCGAACGCGGCCGAGTTCGCTTTTGCGCCGGGCATGGTCGCTGCACAGGGAACAGCGACGCCGACGGGAGCGGCGGGAACGGGCACCTCGACACCAGTCGACTGGACTTGGCTCCAGAGCTTCCTCGAGGTGCCCGAGTTCTCGTGGATGTAACAACCTCCCTTCCTCTGCCTACTTGACTGTACTGCCGAGTTTCGTTCGATTGCGCTTGTCTGCGCGTCATGACTGGGAGAAGCGTGATTGCAAAGAGTTGGAGTGTACGAACAGCTGCGACGGGCTTAGAATGCGTTGTCTGCAGGGTGCGTCTTGTCCTCAAAGTAAGGTGCGATCTGTGACAGCATAAGACGAGAGTGTCAGCAAAGCGGGTCGGAGCGTGGAGGGCGAACGTATGATGTACGTACGACGGGGAGCTTGATCAGCACGTCCTTCTTGAAGAGGGGCACGCTCGACATGAAGAGCATCACGGCACCAGCACCGGCACCACCCCAGAGGGCGAGCGTGGGGGCCCACTTGAACACGGCCGCGGGCGTGCTGTGCGAGGTGGACAGGTGGATGTCAGAGCGTCAGTATCCAGCTTCTTTTGCATCTCTATTCATCGTACAGCGTCGAAAGGAAGCACTATATCGCAGTGCGACTGTGAAGGAGTTGTCACGACCGCTGCGTCGAGTAATATGCCATGGGTCGAACTGCACCGGGCCCGTATATCGCAGCTGTTGGATGTCACTGCCCTCGACTCGATCCGATGCATTTCAACCCTGCAGCATCATTCGATCCTTCACTCGCAAGATGGTCGGGTGCCGTTCGAGCTGCTTCATTGCGGTTCGTCGTGGAATCGCTGCTTCGGGTTGCTGCGCTGCGATGCGTGGGCGCGGAGGAATCGTCGGCTAGCTGGTCTGCAACTTACAATCGGCCGACGTGGGGCTGGAACGAGGGCTTGGCGCGGTACGAGATCGGAGAGGGACGCATGGTGGGCTAGCGGACGACGATGGATGTATGGTGTGGAGTCGGTGGTGACGAGCAGCAACAGCGACGACAGCGACCAGAGGTGCTTTCCAGAAGACTTGGGTTCAGCGCTCGCTGTTCTGACCATTCCGGCGCCGCTCGTAGGCCCAATGCTGCCAAATTTCCCAAACCGAGAAGCTCCGGTTCCGAGTTGAGCCTGCGCCTCCCGGCCGGAATGCAAGTCGAGAAGATAAAATGTGTTAAGACGTTTGCACGAGGCACAAGATGTTGAATCTGCATCGCTCACACTTTGAGCATTGGCAAATTTGTTTTGCGAGGGAGATCTGACACTTTTGCGCTTTTCAGGAGATCGTCGGCGCAAGAAGCCATCGGAGCGGATAGGGAACTCGCCCGGAGCGGATTCGATCTAATCACAACCACTTTTGGCCTCTTCCAGATGGGACCCCTTTGGCACTTCTTCTTGACACCTGTTTTGCGTCAGGTTAAGCCTCGCGCGCCCTGTCTGGGAACACCGGCGCGGCCGAGCCAGCAGCGAGGGCTGGGTGGAGACCAGGATGACTCGAGCTGTCCCCCCGCGCTCGCAGGCAGAGAGCAGCGGGCCTTCACAGTCGGAAGATGGAGTGGGGATTTTTACCGGCTTCGGCACGGCAGCGTTGGCAGCAGCAGCCTCCGACTCATGCAGGCGACGCGCACTAAAGATAAGATGCTCGAAATCAGCCAATCAGACCACGCGCTTTGGACACCTTTTCCCCACCACCTGCTGCCGATGCAACCACTCCGCCGCGACTACCGTTCCGACAACGCCGCTCGAAGCTCCCACACGATGATGAGAACAGCGTCGCCCACAGTCTGTTTGCCATTGACAGAATTCATGCTGGATAGAGGCAGCTTGAGATGAAGAAGCTCAAGGGGCGGGCTGGCTTGGCCAAGGAGGATCGTATCGTAGCGACGCTATGATGGCTTGAAGGCGTGCAAAGGCGTTGCGCCAGATCGAGCAGGAGGGGCAGGTCCAACGAATCGAGGGTCTCTGAGAAGAACTGACGAGCTCAATTTGTCTTAGCGCGGTCTGAGTGCTACACGTCCCACGGGGTAGGGCAAAAGGTCTTGTCCGTCTCTCGCCCCTCGCTCGGTGCACACCCCACAAGGCTCCGCGCTGTCATATGGGTGCGCGGCTCACTGCCGCCTGCTCGCCATTTGAGAAAGGAAATGCGGAGCACGGCGTTGGTTTTGATGAGTTTGCCGATGCTGCCTGCGCAACCGCGGACTTTCGACGGGATGGCCGGTGAGGAAGGAGCTTTGAAAGCGCACAAAGATCTTCTGAAGCTCGCTGAAAAGATCGGCAATCCGAGCCGACCGGCGCTGCCAATTGCTTTCTCCTGATTGGGAAGATGGACGGCGTTATCTAGCTTGATCGTCTGCTTCTGCGTACGGTTCATCGCGGCTGCCCGCTTCTCCGCTCCCGCACCATGTCGTGGAAGCTGAGCCGGATATGAAAGCCAAGCCCAAGCTGCGACCAAATCAGATGCGTCGCATTGGAGAGCTCCTCACAATTCCGTCTGGATGCGACCACTCGACCTTTCCGGGTCGTCCAGCCGCAATGGCTCTGCGATCCTGACCGTGTGCTTCGTGTGTCTGAAAGCCCAGCGTACGGCCCCTTCTAGCCGCTCATAGCCGCAGACTGCCAGCCGCCACCCATCGCCCCATCCTGACCAGGTCAAATCTGGGGAAGACCGAACGCGACCCCTGGCCATGCTACGGCCCCACACGTTTGAAAGCACTGTGTTGCGTCACTCGATCCAAATCGAGCTGCCGGGGCATCTTGTGTTCTCGCTCAACCCTGTGTCAAGTGAGAATGGCCGGCAAACGACACCCTGCCCCGCCTTGGTGGAGGGCAAGGCAAGGGCGACGGGTGGGGACGTCAGCGTCGGGCTAACGAGCCTGGCACATTGGCGGTCTCTAGGAGAGCTGGCAGAGCTGGCCGCCCTGGCCGCCCTGGCGCCAGGGCTCGTTTCAGGGTTTGAGGCGAACTTTGGGGCGTCGTGCAAAGCCTCACTGGATCAGCTCACGCGAGCGCCGCCAAGGGCGACGCAGTGTGAATTCGGCGGGCCTGCGGGGTGAGATTCTAGCTGTGAAACGACGGGGTCAAGGGTTTGGGGAACGGCTCATCGCCCTAGGCACTGGGCGGTGTGTGTTTGCTCTTTTGGCTCGAATTTCATGCTCGAATCGTCGAGCTGAGGAAAACTCGAGGTTCAAATTAAGCGTCTGGCTAAACAAAAGAGGGGCGATTCGCTTCAACTTGGATGCACGTCCAGATAGCCAAGACCTCGAGCACCCCGTCACACTGGCATCACCGCTCGCACGTCGGTTGGGCCAAACTGCCTGACCGACGCTGCACGGTGCACCAACACCGCCTGCAGGCCACTGTGCGGTGCAGTTGGAGCGAATCCAGCCGTGAGATGGCCCGCCTGCCCGCCCACGCCCGACCGTCTGATCCGCTTGGCCTCGCTAACCCGCCCGCCCGCCCGCCCGCCCACTCCTCGAGCGGTCC